TCGAGATCATGATTTCGAGATTCAAATCTCGAGATCTTGATTTCGAGATTCAAATCTCGAGATCTTGATTTCGAGATGCAAATCTCGAGATCAAGATGTCGGGATGCAAATCTCGAGATCAAGATGTCGAGATGCAAATCTCGAGATCAAGATGTCGAGATGCAAATCTCGAGATCTCAAAAGTCGAGAAGAGGAAATCGAGTCCCTAAATGTCGAGATCCTGCAAAACGAAAACATTGATTTTTGAAAATCTGAAACCTGTTCTGAATAGCCCTGAAAGTCAAGATTCTCCTGTATCAGTTTCAAGCCAAAAACGTTTCTGCAGCAGTGAAAAATAAGGATTTCGAGATCTCAAAGTAGAGATCATCGAAATATAAAATTTACAGAAAACGAAAAAAGATGTATGCTGCTTGATCGGTTTTCAAAGGTGAGTCCAACAGTATGATTTTTGCAAAATTTCATTCACAAACGAGATTACAGGAGCAAATCTCTACATACAGAAAAACAGAAGAAAAAACATAGCAGTTCTTCGTTAGATCCAAAAATCGCAGACAGATCCAACTTGTTTCACGCCTCGGCTCTGATACCAAATATTAGTTCCAAAATACTAACAATCATAAGCAGTTATAAAGAAGCAGATAGAAAGATATGTCGAAGATAAAACGCGAATCTGGTATACCGTATGAAAACCGGCCGCTGCTCTCCCTGAAGGAGAGCAGCGGCAACCCTACTCTCTCTATCTTTACGCCTCTGCGTCTCTAAGCCTCTCACGATTAGCTAGGTTCCCGTAAGTTAGTCTCCTTTTATAGGAGAAGTTGGCTAACTTACGGGTTACAAGGAAGCCCACGGGCTGATACACATTTGTGACCCGTATTACACGTTTAATTAATAACTACACAAATACAAAAATAACTAACTAGATTGAACACCATAAAATATTCCCAACAGAGGGAGTATATTTTTTATAGACAATTAGATTTGTCAGAGAATATTTTATTTTCGATCACTGAAAATCTTCAACTGGCCCCATACACTTTAAAACAATGTTTTTATGTTTAAAAATTATTGATAATTTTTTACAAATTATCTTCTTGGTTTACTAATACATAGTAAACCCATAACCATTTTTAATATGGATTACTACCTTTGTTCCATTGTAACTCATTTAACTTTGACACAATTATTAATAAAATGATTGAAAAACGAAAGTTGTGATTGAGAATTGAGAATAATAAAATATAATGTTGTAACCCTTATTTTTTGTCAACTCAAAAAGAAAAGTAAGACAGATAAAATGAAATAGAAAGATTAATTAGTTTGAATATACTACCTCTGTCCCTTAAAATTTTCTCAAAGTTGACCGACAAGGAGAATAATAAAGTAAAAATTGTGTTGTTGAGGTTTATGCAGAGGAGAGTAAAATAACAGAAACCACAAAATAAATGATTAAAAGAGAAAGTGACAAAGTTTTTTAGAACGTCCCAAAAGGAAAGATTTAAGGGACAGAGAAGGTATATATATATATATATATATATAAATTCGGCATATTTACGCTGCTACTTTAATACGATAAGACCATTTGTAGTGTTATAATATTAGAAATCCAAAATGTTAAAGATGAAATTTTTGGACTACTAAATTCTAATTTCATGTAAGAAAGGGGATAAAGGGTTTTAGAAACAAAGGGAGGATTGACATGGAGAAAAGAAAATGAAAAAAAGGGAGGAAGAAATGGCTAGTGAAAGGAGGTGAGGATAAAATTTAATGCACCAAACTCTCTCGTGAAATATAAATTCGGCACATTAATTCCTTGTGATTTAAAAAATGCATCAGACCCCTGTATTATCATTAATCATGCGCCAAACCCCCTCCAAGAACAAATTTAATTTCAAAAAATATGAAAATAATTAGTTTTTTTGTATAATTTAGAAATTTTGACAAAGTTACTTGCATATTCAAGCATATTATTAAAAAAAGTGATTTTAAAATTGTAAAATTTGTTCTTGAAGAGGATTTTACGTATGATTAATTAAAATACAGAGAGATTTGACGCATTTTTTAAATCACATGAGACTAATACACCGGATTTATATTTCACGAAGAGGTCTGGTACATTTAACCCATGTAATATATAAAATGAAAAAAAATCTGATTAAATTTTCTTTGAAACCAAAAAACATCAAACACAATTTTTTAATTCATGTAAGCTTCATAAATAACTAAATATTTCATAATCGATTTTACTTGAACTAAGTTCACAATTGTTAATTGAAAAACGTTAAAAAATTAATAAAATTTATTTATTTTTACTTTTTATTTCATATGTATTCAGGAAACAAATTAAAAGAAAAACATTACATATAATAATTTTACTAAATTGATATATATATATATATATATATATAAATATGGTTAATATATTTTATTGATGATTTTGAAATGCAAAGAAATATGAGTAAAACATTTTGGTCCATTTATTAAAAATCCATTTTTAACATTTTGGTCTCTCCATCCCTGTGACCCGAACAGGACAAAGAACTAAACAGCGGTTCAGACCTTAAAGCAGTTTTGAATTAAAATCCAATTATTAGCCCTGGAATTGTTAGAGTTCATTGCAGTAGTTTAACTATTTTTGTAATTCACAGTACTTTAAACGTCAACATTCCCGAACACTAACAGTTCATTATCACTGATTCAGAGTATAAAAACAGTAATCGAAAAGATGAAAAGACCAATTTTTTCAACGTTTGGAAAAATAAAGTGGACTAATTAAATCGTGCTAAAGAGTAAGACCTGCTAAAGAGCGAAGAAGTTTTGTGAAGAGGAAGAAATGTAAGGGCAGAACAGGCAGCAACAACAAGGGAAAAGAGTTGAAGCTGCAAAGCGAAGCCCTAATTCATCACTTTCTGCACTTTTAAATAGGCCTATGGGCGATTGCTAAGCGGCCGCAGAAGCCTACGTACAGTGCATAATCATTCTCATATCAATTAATCAATGAACTACTGCTATTACTACTACTACAAATCAGTAAATCTGTTGACTACCGGAAGAGACATCGATTAGACGCTCCGCCCCGCCACGCCACGCTCCGCCTGTGTTGTGTATCCTGAAGGGCAGCGTCACTTTTAGTGATGAAACGGCTATGATTTAAAGGGAAGAGGCTCCAAAATAATGAAATGTGGAAGAAGACCTAGCTAGCACTGTATTAAGCATTTTGAACGCCAAGTCCATTGAGTTCGTTTCTGGCCCATTTAAATTTGCTTACATACTCCAAACTTGAGTACTGTTCTAAGCCCAGACTATATGTCCTCAATAAATTTAATTCTCAACCATTTTATTAGAAGTGTGTGTATTGACCATTGATCAATAATGAGAGTAAAAAAAGGAGAAATGGTCTTAAATAGGATCATAACTTTAGTTATGTACCCGTATAGGATCGTCTACTTTTTTAAAACTAAATAGGACTTAATTTTTACTCAATACCAAATTTACCCCTGAATTAATTGTAGGGGACGCTCTTCGTCGCCGCTCTTCTTTTTCTTCGCATGTTTGCCGTCTGCTTCACTTAGCTTCCACAAGAACACCGACCAACCATCTCCCCTTTGGACTTCATCAATTCCTCTCTTGGTGAAATGGGAATATGTGATTCATCTTAAAATCTTTAGTAATCTCGTGGGAGTAGAATTTTCTATTCATTCTAGATTTAGCCTTGTTTCATTTTGACTTTATGCTTAATAATAAATTGCTCGCTCTTCCTTCGTCGACCAGAGGCCGCCATTGCAATTTGCAGGTGATGAAGGATTGAAGGTCATCGGAGATGGAGGCCGCCGCTGAAAGCCGCTGCAACGACATACCGACACGCTGCGGTGGAAGACCCTAGCTACACAGCAACGAGGCCGAGACAGCATATGGACACAGCAGCGGCGGCGGCAAGATGGTGACAACGCAGCAGTGGCGGGAGCCTTCCTCCTTTTCCTTCTCCTTTATTTTTCTACGTTGTTTCAACCAGGTCTGTGGTTTGTATTTTCAACCATGTTCTTTTGGTTCGTTTAGTGCAATTAGAATTTGAACTTTTTTCTTTTCTGTTGCACCTTGTAATTTTACAAATAGGCAAATAGTTGTTATGTCTTGGACTAATGCAGAGGGTAGTTGTTCAATTTAATTTAGCATCACTGAGTTTTTGTTTTGCACCAAAACTATTTGATGAAATGTCTATGTGAAAAAAATCTCCATGTTTTACATTTTCAATTGAGAAAAATCACGGGTAGCATATTTAAAGTGCATGAACAAGTGGATTGATAATGTCCAGGCTACATTGACATTGTCACGGCAATGTCATTGACACTGTCACGACAATGTCATTGACACTGTCACGACAATGTCATTGGCACTGTCACGACAATGTCATTGGCACTGTCACGGCAATGTCATTGGCACTGTCATGACAATGTCAATGTCATTGATATTGCCGTGACAATGTCATTTCCATTGTCACACCGTTATTACAATGTCACATGCCAATGTCACAATATCATGATGTCATCAACGATAAAAATGTCACAATATTTTACACAATGTCACAAGCAATGTCTTAAAAAAATGTCATCACTTTTGACATTGTTACTTCTCGACAATGTCATCACAATGTTGTTTTTGTAGCATTGAAATTGACATTGTCATTACCACAATGTCATTTTTAAATCATTGACATTGTCATTTTTGCAATGTCATTTTTTAAAAGCACTAATATTGACATTGTAGTTATTATTTGACATTGTTTCATTTTTCCTGATATTATAATACATTGTTAACAATGTGTTTTCAACAAAAGCAAAGTAATTTTTATAGCATTGACATTTTTTAATAGCACTGATATTATCGTTATTGCAATGTCATTTAATGTCATTGTTCAAAATAGTGCAATAAAATCCATCAAGATCAATTTGATAAGATAAATCAGCAAATTAAAATAAAATAGAAAAGCAAAACTAATTGTACTAGTATTGAGGTCTATATTGCTGGCCGGTTTGGTTTGGTTTTAAAAAAATTGAAAATCGGTCCATGCATCTTTCCTTGTTGGGTAATAGCGGAGCTCCTGAGTGTGTATAAGTTTGTCGGCATGGAGTTTGAATGATTTATTCGCTGATGAATAATTCAAGAAATTGGTGGCGGCCTTGTGGAGTTTGTCCAGTGTCTCCTCCCCCATCGCGAGACAATCGTGTAAAGCTGCCTTCTCGAACACCGTCGGTAGCATGTGTAATGAATCTGAAACACCGGAGCATGGTTTGGCACCTAGACAAGATGGAGAGATGGGTGGCGGAGCTGGCGGTGCGTGGGGGACAAGGAGAAATCCAGCGGTGGGCAGAGGAGGTCGCCGAAAGTTTAACTTGGCAGCAGAGATCGTTGACCTGAGGGCCAACGATTAAGTTTCGTACTCCTTGCTAGGCCATTTTGTCTTGAGAAAGCGTAGATATGGATGGAGGGTGTTTTGGTCCCTTTACTTAAAATTAGTCCTAGACGTGAGTTAAAAAGATTTAGCTCCTATTTAGCTCCCGATGAAGATATTTAGTCCTATTTATGTCTTTCTCCCTAAAAAAAGCAAGAGCACGCAGCGGTCTTTCCCTTATCTTAGGGTTCGAGAGTGTGCCATCATCGTGCGGCTTTTTCTTTATCGAAGCATCCAAGCGCCGACTTGGCCTGCTTCGTCGTTTGTGGTAGCGGGAAGGATGGAGGGTGAGGTTGTGAAGATGCACAGGGAAGAACGCGAGCACGAAGGGGAACCGGTGGAGAGCCTAGCCGACAAGTACGTGGGACGAGGAGAGTTGCACGAGCTTCGAATAGGCCAGATTTCGATCGACAATGGAGGATCAATTAGAGTGGTACCAATGATACGGCCTCCTCCTTAACCACCTTCATGGGTTGTATGGGGTGCTAGAGTCCGTGAAAATTTTCGTATTAGTAATTAGGGAAAAGGGTCAGATAGGGCCTCGAACTTACAAAAAAATGTCAAATAAGGTCTTATATAGGAGGTTCTGTCCGGCCGACACCATTTAAGACGGTTTCCGGTGGACTTTTTCAATGAAACTTTTTGAGCATCTTACTTATTAAATCTAGTTTACTCATACCAATTTTCAGCCAAAACTTCAACCGGAAAGGTATTCAAATAAATTCTTGAAGATAAGTGTGCAGTTAAAAGCACAGTTATATTCAAGAATTTATTTGAATGCCTTCCCGATTGACGTTTTAGCTGAAATTTGGTATGAGTAAACTAGACTTAATGAATAATATGCTCACATAATTTCATCGAAAAATGCCACTGGGAACCATCCCAAATAGCATCGCCCGGACAGAACCTCCTATTTGACATTTTTTTGTAAGTTCGAGACCCTATTTGACCCTTTTCACTAGTTATTATTATTTTGTCGTTTGCTTTCTTGTTATCGTATTTGTTGTTAGGTTTGTCAGTTTGTTTAGGAAGTTAGCTCTTTTTTGTGTCATTGGATATGTTTGGATCTATGGAAATAGGGATGATTGTGTCAAGCTCGCTGCATGGTTAGCGATTCGTGTTGCTCTTTCGGGGGTAACTGCCTCTAAGTCTGATCATAGGGTTTACAGTAGTAGTTGTTGGAGTTTAGTTGGTGTCAGATATGTTTTTTTATTGATGTAATTGTTGGTCCCGGTTGTACTGGATACAGTCTAGAGGGGGAGGGGTGAATAGACTGTATAGGTTTTTAGCTTTTTCAAGCTAAGTACCAGATTTAACAGAATAGCCTGTTCTGTGGGCAGAACAGACTGGCAGCGGATGGGGTTCTGTTAGGGAGTTCTGTTAGTAGCCTCAGAGAAGCAAAGGCAGTAGGCCTTCTGTTAACTCATAAGACAAGTTCTGCTGAACACAGATACCAAGTCTTTGGAGTTAAACAGTTCAAACAAAAACAATGAATGTAATGCAATAAGTAAATGACACCAGGGCTTTTTATAGTGGTTCAAAGAATAACTTGTTCCTCTAGTCCACTGTTCCACTAAGCTTGTAAAAACGTCCGTTTACAATGCCTTAGCCCTATCACTTAAGAAGCTCTCCACGTCTTCTTCAAGTGTAGATGTCTTCTTGGATGCACTTCCGGCTTCCCTAAGACTGGTCCTTTCACTGAGCTTTCACAGAAGTATCACAACTTCACTGCTCCAGGTACTTGGACGTCCTTCTTGTGAAAGAAGAGGTTCTATTTAGAACAGAGGTTCCTCCAACTTGCTTCGTTACAAAGGATTTGTATGTGATGAGCTTGAAGAGTTGAAGAACACTTGGAACTTTGCTCGAGTTGGAAATAAGGATTTTTTCAACTTCTCCCTTCTCTTGTAGAGGATGATGAAGTTTCAATCTCAAGGAGGCTTTTTGCGTTTTTAGCGTTTGAATATCTTGTATGCAGAGTTGTAGCAAAAGTTATGGCAAGGTTATCCGGTTGTTCTTCGTAGTGTATCTTTTATACTGAGGTTGTCTTCCCGTTGGAGGAGAAGGAGGACAACTGCATTAAATGAGCGAGCAGTTGACTTGACCAGTAGGACCCGGTAAAGTTGGCGGGTTACCATTTTGGGATAAAGTAATCCTGACATTGCGGCCAATCATCTGCAATTACTCTACAAAGTACGGGAGGCATTAAATGTGCATTTAATGCGCGTACTGTAGCTTTTCCGTTCAAGACTCCTAGCCGTTGAAGGAATCTTTCAGTTGGTTTCCCGGCTTGGTGGAATTCTTCTGAGTGTGAGGCCTTCTGGTGTCTTTAGCAGAGGGTTGATCAGAGAAGGTCTTGAGCACTTCTGTTGAAGAGATATCCAACAGAGAACCAGGAGGGTTTCTATCAGAGTAAAGGCTAACACAGACCCTGAGGTCTTCTGTTCTAAAGCAGAGAACAAAAGGTCCTCTGTTCAACCAACGCCTTATCAAGGGTCTTCTGCTCAGGAGGCTTTCTGCTTTGTAGGTCTTCTGCTCAGTCGATTATACTAAAGAATTTTACAAAGGAAAATTCTAATACATTAAGTCTAAAGAGGGGTACTCTAAAGTCCTAATTAACCTAGCATCATCAAAATCTACATACAAATATTCCTTACAATTTCCCCCTTTTTGATGATGCCAAAACCCTTTAACTATTTCCAGAGAAGTGCCTTCACCATAAAGAATTAAAGTTTTAAACTTTCATTAAAATCTTGGTGGGCAACTTGGCATAGGAAAATAGTAAGAGTGCAGTACATTCAGATGACAGATAATAAATAAAAAACAGGCAGAAACAAAAGAAAAGACAGAGATTGAGGAATTGCCTTACAAAGTGTGAGGCAGAGATGTTCTTTTATTAAGGTGGATTACAAGAATATCTGATTACATAATAGTCTTTGCAGCTTCAGCTCTTGCTTGTTCATCGAGTCCTTGTAGCCTCTTTAGCTCTGCGTTCACCTCTTCTCTGATTCCAACTAGATTTCCAGATCTCTGATAAGAAGCCCAAACGGGTGAGAGCTTGCAGTCTAGGTAGTTTAGAACACCTTCATGAATATCTTTTCCTGGTACAATGCTGTTGTGAAACCAGAACTCTGCCTCCTCCAGAGATCCACCATGTCTAACCTTTACATGACCATCATGGTCCAGATAAAGATTATGTTGTTGAGTGGAGGTCATCTTCTGCTTCATTTCCTCAAATTGGGTTTTAGTCATCACCTGAGATCCTCCCAGTCTCCATTCTTTAAAGCTTAGAGCTTTCTTCTTCTTAGTTCCTTTCTTCTGTGGAGATGGTGGAGGTCTAGGGATACCAGCTAGCTGTTTCTTCTGGAGGGCAGCTTCAAAATAAGGAGTGGGATCCACAACTGGTTCAGCAGATGATGAGGCTCTGGTGGTCCTGGGTTTTGGCAGATGATGGTCTTCTTCCCCCTTTTTGGCATCATCGAGATCACCAAGCAGAAGGGAGAGTTTCTGGAATTATGTGGCCTGAGTAGAGGCAATCTGTTCCAGGGTTTCTGGTAAGGTTTGAGTGACAGATGTGAGGCCTTCAATCAGCCCCTGTTGTTTCTGGATGGCAGACAGGATATCTTTGTTGCTGGCTTCTAAGAGAACCATCTTCTGATATCTCTCTTTGTCTGCAACTAGGAGGAGCTGTCCTTGAGTAGTATGGTCATTGCAGAGGGTGTTTAGTTCTTGTAACCTTGTATGAAGTACTGAATCTGATTTCTGAAGAGATGTCACTGCCTGGGAAAGGGTTGAAAGTGTGGTATGTTGGGAATTCAGGGTCTGATTCATGGCAGTCAGAACAGTCTTGATAGAGTCCACTTCAGTGGAGACAGCATCAATCTTGAAATTGGATGAAGTCATGAAATCCTTAAGAACATTTGTGAGAGTAGCAGACATGTGTTTGAAGCCAGACTTCACATTGTCATCCACATGTTGCAGACCTTCATAGTGTTTATCATTAATCAGTATGAGTTTGTTCATGCCTTCTAATATCTGACCTCCAAAGTTCTCTGCTGCTGCTACAAAATCATTGAAGGGCATCTGATTCTCTTGTCCAGCAGAGTGAGGCAGCTCTAAACCTCTTCCTTTAGGTAAAAGGGTGATGCTCTTGGACAGAGGAGAAGGATTGGACAAGGAGTTCATGCTCAAGTTGAGTCAGAGGGGGGGTCTTCTGTCTCTTTGAGGTAGCTTTGTAGGACTTGCTGACAATGAAGCCATCCATGTGAGAGCACTAGTACAAAAAAGGCTTTTCACATCGGTCAAAAAAAGCTTTTCACATCGGTCAAACAGCCGATGTGGTTCCAGCACATGTGAAAAGTATTGACTTTTGACATCGGTCAAACAGCCGATGTGAAAATTCTTTCTACATCGGTCGTTTAGTGTCCGATCTAGAAGATAGTTCGAAACGGTGTTTTTAATGATATTTCACATCGGTTATAACCCATGTAGAAAAGAAACCACATCGGTTATTTTACAACTGATGTAGAAAAGCTTCAATTTTTCCCGGAGCATAGGTTTTTCACATCGGTTATAACCCATGTAAAAAAGAAATCACATCGGTTATTTCACAACTGATGTGAAAAGCTTCACTTTTTCCCGGAACATAGGTTTTTCACATCGGTTATAACCCATGTAGAAAAGCAATCACATCGGTTATTTCACAACCGATGTGAAAAGCTTCAGTTTTTTCAGTATCTTTCATGAAAAAAAATTGCAATATGACACCTGTTTATACTATAATCACATCATTAACAGTATCATCAACTACTACAGCACAATTTTTCACCTATTCACTTGATCCATCTAAAACAATAACACAAGCTATTTTTCAATTCTTCCACAAGTGTTAAACAAGTTCAAGTAACAACTTAGTACATAATAATAAGCTAAAATAAAACAAATTTGCACAAGTCTAGAGTAATAACACATTGTAAAACAATCCATCGATTACTCCTGTCGACACTAAAAGTTATAAACTTTCCAAAAAAAACAATTTATTACTATTGTTGTTTTTCAATCAAATACTAACTATAAATGTCATTAATATTTATCAGGAATCACAAAATACAAATTTTATTAATATTTATCAAGAATAAAATACAAGTCCAATATTCATCAAACATTGTATGTGGTAAAGCGTCTCGTATCCCGCCTTCATTTTCTTCCATGTAGGATGAATTTACCATTTTCACCGTCTGACATCTCTCCCAGCCTTGAAATAGCATCTATAAGTGATTGTTCATGCTCCTACATTAAACAACACTGTTAAGCATCAACTGATGTGCAACAAAAAAATATCAGTAACAATAGGATACAATTAATTCTTACCTTCAACACTTTCCTTGCCTTTTTAACCTCCAGAGGATCAGGATTGCTTGCACTAAATAACCTTTCCACCTGACCTGAAACCAATGAATTTAACATAAATAGGAAATCAGGAAAGGTGAGGAGTTATCAAAATTGAGGAAAATGGCCTATGCAGACACCCATATAAACACCCATATGGATCCCTGGTTACATTATTTGAACTATATGTTGGTGTACATCCAAATGACTACAGATCTACAATCTAATTTAACTAAAACCAAAAAGTTTTCTTCCATTGAAAACATATTGCGACTAGTGCATTTATCATTTATCAAATATTCTCACACATGCCA